CATCCATCCATCCATCATCCTTCCATCATCCTTCCATCATCCATCCATCATCCTTCCATCATCCATCCATCCATCCATCCATCCATCCATCCATCATCCTTCCATCCATCATCCTTCTATCAATCATCCTTCCATCATCCATCCTTCCATCATCCATCCATCGATCATCCTTCCACCATCCATCATCTTTCCATCATCCATCCATCATCCTTCCATCATCCATCCATCCATCATCCAACCTTCCATCATCCATCCTTCCATCATCCATCCATAATCCTTCCATCATCCATCCATCATCCTTCCATCATCCATCCATCATCCTTCCATCATCCATCCATCATCCTTCCATCATCCTTCCATCATCCATCCATCATCCTTCCATCATCCATCCATCATCCTTCCATCATCCTTCCATCCATCATCCTTCTATCGATCATCCTTCTATCCATCATCCTTCTATCCATCATCCTTCCATCATCCATCTTCCATCATCCATCCATCATCCATCCATCATCCTTCCATCATCCATCCATCATTAATCCTTCCACCATCCATCCTCCTTCCATCATCCATCCATCCATCATCCTTCCATCATCCATCCTTCCACCATCCATCCTCCTTCCATCATCCATCCATCCATCATCCTTCCATCATCCATCCATCATCCTTCCATCCATCACCCTTCTATCCATCATCCTTCCATCATCTATCCTTCCATCATCCATCCATCCTTCCATCATCCATCCATCCATCATCCTTCAATCATCCTTCCATCCATCATCCTTCTATCCATCATCCTTCCATCATCCATCATCCTTCCATCCACCATCCATCATCCATCCAACCATCCATCATCCTTCCATCATCCATCCATCATCCATCCTTCCACCATCCATCATCTATCCTTCCATCATCCACCCATCCATCATCCTTCCGTCATCCATCCATCATCCTTCCATTATCTATCCATCCATCATCCTTCCATCATCCATCCATCATCCTTCCATCATCCATCCATCATCCTTCCATCATCCATCCTTCCATCCATCCATCATCCATCCATCCATCATCCTTCTATCCATCATCCTTCCATCCATCCATCCATCATCCTTCCATCATCCATCCATCCATCCATCATCCTTCCATCATCCATCCATCCATCCATCATCCTTCCATCATCCTTCCATCCATCATCCTTCTATCAATCATCCTTCCATCATCCATCCTTCCATCATCCATCCATCGATCATCCTTCCATCATCCATCCTTCCACCATCCTTCCATCCATCCATCATCCTTCCATCCATCCATCATCCTTCCATCATCCATCATCCATCAATCATCCATCCATCCATCATCCTTCCATCATCCATCCTTCCACCATCCATCATCCTTCCATCGTCCATCCATCATCCTTCCATCATCCATCCATCATCCTTCCATCATCCATCCATCATCCTTCCATCCATCATCCTTCTATCCATCATCCTTCCATTATCTATCCATCCATCATCCTTCTATCCATCATCCTTCCATCATCCATCCTTCCATCATCCTTCCATCCATCCATCATCCTTCCATCATCCATCCTTCCACCATCCATCATCCTTCCATCATCCATCCATCCATCATCCTTCCATCATCCATCCTTCCATCATCCATCCATCATCCATCCATCCATCCATCATCCTTCCATCATCCATCATCCATCCATCATCATCCATCCATCATCCATCCTTCCATCATCCATCCTTCCACCATCCATCCATCATCCATCCATCCTTCCATCATCCATCCTTCCATCCTTCCGTCATCCATCCATCATCCTTCCATCATCCTTCCATCATCCATCCTTCCATCCTTCCATCATCCATCCATCATCCTTCCATCATCCATCCATCATCCTTCCATCATCCATCCATCATCCTTCCATCATCCTTCCATCATCCATCCATCATCCTTCCATCATCCATCCATCATCCTTCCATCATCCTTCCATCATCCATCCATCATCCTTCCATCATCCATCCATCATCCTTCCATCATCCATCCATCATCCTTCCATCATCCATCCTTCCATCCATCCATCATCCATCCATCCATCATCCTTCTATCCATCATCCTTCCATCCATCCATCCATCATCCTTCCATCATCCATCCATCCATCCATCATCCTTCCATCATCCATCCATCCATCCATCATCCTTCCATCATCCTTCCATCCATCATCCTTCTATCAATCATCCTTCCATCATCCATCCTTCCATCATCCATCCATCGATCATCCTTCCATCATCCATCCTTCCACCATCCTTCCATCCATCCATCATCCTTCCATCCATCCATCATCCTTCCATCATCCATCATCCATCAATCATCCATCCATCCATCATCCTTCCATCATCCATCCTTCCACCATCCATCATCCTTCCATCGTCCATCCATCATCCTTCCATCATCCATCCATCATCCTTCCATCATCCATCCATCATCCTTCCACCATCCATCATCCTTCCACCATCCATCATCCTTCCATCATCCATCCTTCCACCATCCATCCTCGTTCCATCATCCATCCATCCATCATCCATCCTTCCACCATCCATCATCCATCCATCATCCTTCCATCCATCACCCTTCTATCCATCATCTATCCTTCCATCATCTATCCTTCCATCATGCATCCATCCTTCCATCATCTATCCTTCCATCATCCATCCATCCATCCATCCATCCATCATCCATCATCCTTCCGTCATCCATCCATCATCCTTTCATTATCTATCCATCCATCATCCATCCATCATCATCCTTCCATCATCCATCCATCATCCTTCCATCATCCTTCCATCCATCATCCATCCATCATCCTTCCATTATCTATCCATCCATCATCCTTCCATCCACCATCCATCATCCATCCATCCATCCATCATCCTTCCATCATCCTTCTATCCATCATCCATCCATCCATCATCCTTCCATCATCCATCCATCCATCATCCTTCCATCATCCTTCCTTCCATCATCCTTCTATCCATCATCCTTCCATCATCCATCCTTCCATCATCCATCCATCCATCATCCTTCCATCATCCATCCTTCCACCATCCATCATCTTTCCATCATCCATCCATCATCCTTCCATCATCCATCCATCCATCATCCATCCATCCATCATCCATCCTTCCATCATCCATCCTTCCACCATCCATCATCCTTCCATCATCCATCCAGCATCCTTCCATCATCCATCCTTCCACCATCTATCCATCATCCTTCTATCCATCATCCTTCCATTATCTATCCATCCATCATCCTTCTATCCATCATCCTTCCATCATCCTTCCATCCATCCATCATCCTTCCATCATCCATCCTTCCACCATCCATCATCCTTCCATCATCCATCCATCATCCATCCTTCCATCATCCATCCATCATCCTTCCATCATCCATCCTTCCATCCTTCCATCCATCCTTCCATCATCCATCCATCCATCATCATCCATCCATCATCCTTCCATCATCCATCCTTCCATCCTTCCATCCATCCTTCCATCATCCATCCTTCCATCATCCATCCTTCCATCATCCTTCCATCATCCATCCTTCCATCATCCTTCCATCCTTCCTTCAGCAGTCCCCCATCAGGGACTCCCCCCTGGGGAAGAGTGGGCGGTTCCTCTTATGGGCGGAGTTTGGTGGTCTGAGTTCCTGAAGGAAAGGTCAGAGGTCACTGACTCCGCCCCTTTCTCTTCGCAGGAGTTCCACACCAGCCCGGTATTCATGGAGGGCGGAGCGTTCACATCGGACATCTGCCAGGGGGAGCTGGGTAATACTTCCTGCAGGAGTGATGAGATTTGTAGTTCTGTCTGATGTCACCATGGAGGGGTTTCCGTCATGTGGGGCCACTTCCCACCGAGATAAGTCCCAAACAAGAGCTCTATATTCTCTGTGCCTGGGACATGTTTCACCTCTTGGGTGCCGTCAGGTTACTTGCTATGCAGCACACGCAGACGTCTCGCTGTGCGCTGGGATGAGGCAATGATGGCGGGCGTCGGCGTCCGGTCACATGACCCCACAAAGGACCATCTGAAGCTGTGACCTCGCTATCTGCATCCTGTCTCTGCTCTCGGCCCTGACGAAGGGACCTTGGATTCTCGAAACGCGTTAGACCGCTGGACTCATGATGAAAACCTTTCTGGACTCTTTAGTAACGGGTGTGGCCCCCGAATTTCTATAATCATGTGACACATCCCGTGTATGATCATGTGATGCTGATTCCTATATTAACTCCTCATTTACATATGTCCCTCCCCCATACAGGTGACTGCTGGCTCCTCTCCTCCATGTCGTCACTGACTCTCCACCCCAAACTCTTCTCGCGTGTGGTCCCTGAGAACACGAGCTTTGCCGAGAAAGAAGGATACAGCGGAATCTTCCATTTCATGGTGAGGAGGAGGGGTCATCATAAGACACAGCCATGGGGGGGTCATCATAAG